AATGGTACTTCTCTATCACCTCCTTGTCTCGCCGGGGGTGAAAAGCCGGCGCAAGTGTTCTTGATGGTGTGAAGGTCGAAGTCTCACAGGCCAAGCCGGCGATGGCAACGACCGGACGATACGCCATGAGGGTTTTCTCCGGACAGTGCTTGCCGTTGTACTGGTTAGAGAAGTCTCCAAGTATGGTCGAGTATCTAAGCCCCCTTCATCTATTTGGTGGTCTCGGATGCCAAAGAAAGACGTTCAGACAGCTTTGCGACTCCATCTCTGTAACTCTACTGATGCGATATAGCCCCCGCTTCCCCTTCCCCGCACTTCAGATATAATCGCTGACCAAACTATCTCCAACCACAACGTCAAGTAGCAAGATCTCTCTTGTATACAGTTCCCTAAGTAGGTATCTAACCTTGGATACCACCTAAGTTATGTACAGATTTAACTAAAGTACCGATATCTCGCTGCGAGGTCTTCATACGATAATGGGGAAGGTGATCCTCGACAGTATTCTAACATATTTCGGCCCCCACCCCCTTTATATTCTTGACACGGGCATAATACCTGTATGGACGTTGTCCTCGACTGGTTTCATAGAGTATGGCGCAGTCGATATGTCGTCTAGGCAGATTCAGGCTTTTTGAAATTTCTGCCGTTGCTCAAATGTGTTGGATCATATTCCCTTTCATCCATGATCGAGTCTAATTTCTTCTTACACGACAACTATGGCAGGTGTAACACCAACGAGAAGCGCAACTGCGCCGGCGACTGACACTTTTCTTGGTCCGATGACGAGTGTTTTCTCAGCGCCCGCGACATGCGATATGTCCAGCATACATTCATCTGCAGACTTCTTTGCACAAGGTCCGGTCCGTACCGACGACGGCTGCCTCCCTCCGAGATGGGTAGTCAGCGGCTATTACTCTCCAGGCGTTTGTCCGTCTGACTACACCAATGCTTGTTCGCATACGGAACAGGGCGTTGAGACAACCATCTGCTGCCCGATGTGAGCTTTCCGAAGTTGCTGACGACCTCTAGCCTTAGTCAATAAGAACTGAACAGTGCTCTTATTAGACAGCAAACTTTTACTTGCGCTTCATCCATCATGAGTGGCCTATTTTCGTGTGGCCTATATTTCTCGCCAACGTCCACATCTATCAGTATGATAGATATCAACTCCAGCGATGACATCCCTGCGCTAGTTCAACAGGTCGTTACAGTCGTTGCTCACGGCGTCCAAGTACGGAGGACAGCACAGGCTGATTTCACAGGACGGCCAGTAAAATTGCATTCAGAGTCCTGGGATTTATTTCATGAACCCCCTCCATCTCGTCCAACTTCTAGAAACATTAATAAGGGACCATCATTCCCTGCAGCCATTACAATTACCATAATTCCGACTTCGACTCCTTCTACAACTATCTCTACGATCCTTTCTATGAATAACTCTCCTAGCCCCTCTACGCAGTCTACCTCAGTGGCACCAAGTCCTGCCGCTCAAGCAAGTGCGTTAACCAGTGGCGCCATTGCGGGTATCTCAGGTGGTATTCTGGGAGCAATGCTGTCAGGAGTCTTTGGTACTTGGATATATATGCGAGTAAGAAAGATGCGTAGTGCGACACGCTCTTCTCAACACATTTCCAAGGAGCCTATCTCCAAGGACGACGAGCCAGACGCACATGCTGCGTCTTATGAAGTACGACACGAGCTTGACGAACAGCGAAATCCGTCCGAAATGCCATCGTGGGACGAGCACAACCCCCAAGGGCCCAACAAGCCCATGGCATGGGAGTTGCAGGGTTCAAGCAAGTCTCCGACGTCTGGACTTCCCGTATGACACGAAGACTCTAGGCTATAAAGAGGGAAGGAGTGGAGGATTGGCTACTCAAACATTACGATCTTGTATAACAAACATGATTGGGGCAACGGGAATAGATGGATAGGGGTATTTTCCTTGCCACGGCTAGAATTCTGGTATATTGAAGTCTACTTTTTCTACAAATCATGGCCACTTCGATGTATATGCCTTGAGGGTCACATTATGACAGGTGCTATATAATCCCAGGCTGTAGCTGTTTGCTTATTTCCAAGCACAAAAGCGGCGTTAGGAAGCTTACAAGTTAGCATTCTTCCAATCACATGTGGAACAAGCGATAGTGAGATCATATCAAGCTCATACCTAGCTAACTTGACTGCCACCATATTATGCACATGGGCACAGATCAGGGACCCTAGAAGTCGATGACATGTCTCATTCGTAGGTACACGACCCTAATATTTGGGTGTCATCGAGAATCGGCACTCCTTTCTGCTCTTACAGGAAACATCGAGGTCGAACCGTAGCTGAAATTAGGTGCGATCATGCGGGAACCTTGAACATGTCAGTATTCCCAGCCCCTTTAGACGCAGCGCTGCGTTAAGCTGGACGAGAACTTGCACTTTCAAGGCAACGAATGACCAAGGCAAGGCTGGTGGTAGTGATGCTTACATCGTAAACGTCAGGACATGCCACTCGCCAACTTTCTGGCCATAAGGCATGTATATAAAAGCCTTTCTAAAGGTCCATATATTCCGTCTGACTTCCTAGCTAAACCACACATACGCAAGAATCCAAGCCAAGAGCACAGAAACTATCATTCCATCATACCAAAGTTACAACCATGGATAAGCTGAAGAAGGCAAAGGACGCAGTGAGCGGCCAAACGTGAGGCACCCAGCATATGGTCTCCCTTCTAGTCTGGACGTGAAGAGACGAGACTGACCGTCGGCGGTAGTGCGGCCAACCAGACTGCGCAGCAGTCCGGAGGCAACGAGAGCTCCAACACCAAGGACACCATGGTCGACTCTAGTACGTACCTAGTCTTTTCTTCTTGTGTACCTCATGTTTCCATCGAGGGCGTCGTGCAAGCAAGCAAGCAAGCATCTCTAACGCTTCGGGAATCTTCCTCGCAGTGGTCGATCAGGAGGCCCAGAAGAAGGGCGTTCCTGCCGGCGCCGACCCGATGATCAACAACGTCGTCAACGACGAGGTTAACAAGTTTTGAGCGAGGAAGCTGGGAGTAGATGGGGCGGGCCAGTTGGGATAGTCGTTGATCTAATGAGGTAGTCTGTTACATACATACAGTTCTACAATCGCTCGTTAAGTATAGGTATTGCCAAATATCTACTTGTTTCAACAAGACCGTCCTTGGCTTCGGGGTCGGTCGAGTCGTTCCTTGGATATGAGATTTATATTCTAATTTCAAAAATTATATTTGATGTTCACTGTCTACAGTGGTGGTGAGGTCGACCTCCTGGTCCAGAACAGGTGAATCAGATCTTCATTGATCAAGCATCTATTCCTAGAGACTATTCACTGCGAAGACCATGCTTATGCTAAACCGACGTGTCAGCTGGTGGACCCTCTGCGAGATCTCGGTGGGATCTACTCACTCCAGTAGAAGCTGCCGTCGTTGTTGGCCATGCGCTCAGACAAGTTGAGGTCGGAGTCTTGGAGCTCTCCGTCCTCGTTGCGGAGGCGGGCTCGGAGCACGCAGACGGGGCCGTCTCCCTCGACGGAACAACGGATGTCCTCAGCAGAGTCGGCGAAGCCGGAGCTGTCCCAGGCGAAGCGACCTATGGCAGGTGAGTTAGAGACTGGGCGCGACCGCACGGCATCTTGAACGTACCGTTCTCGTTTCCGATGTGGTCGTTCAGGTTGATCTCGGCATCCACCCACTCGCCGTCGACCTTCTGGAGGCTGGCTCGGATGTAGTGTCCGTCCTCGAGCCGGATGTTCTGGCTAGTCGCGAAGAAGTTGCCCGCCATTTTGCCGAGAGTCTTGTTATTCTTGGGAAAGGTGTACGGAATTTGGGGAGAGATGACTGAAGGTACGTGAGGGGCGCAAGAGAAGATCTTGGCCTCCATTTATAGACGGCAGTCAGGAACACCGGTAGCCCCTCATCTCCATCAATGGCCCCTGAGAGCGGCGTGAGACCCAGTCCGCTCGTCCAATGCACCGTCTTGATGCGGTGGTTGGCCTAGACGGTGCTTGGCAGCCCCGGCTCGTCGTGGCTCGGCCAAGCAATGACTCGTCCAAGCGACGAAATGCCTCAGCCGTGTCATTGGCTCGCAGCGAGAACACGTTGTCACCGCTGATCGGGGCCCGCATGATGTGGAGTTTTGTCGGATTTGGATCAGTTTGAATGTGGTGAATGCGTGGGAGATTTTGCTAAAAGAGCCCAAGAGCAGTGTCCTCAGCGGGGAATACGCGTGGGGTCTGACCAGCTGGCCTGGGCTCGACAAGGCGGTTAAGCTTAACGCCAGTTTCAGTCCCGCGTTACGGGGTGGGCCCAGGGGTAGCTGATGTTGATGTTCATTCTTGGTCGACTTACATCATTCCAAGAAGCATCCATTTGGGACGAAAGTCGGCCCAGCCAGACTGGCGGCTCGCGAGGCAGCGCCAAGTAGCTGCTAGGTATCCGCCCGAGCCGCGCTGGCGCTCGATGCTGAGTGTGTGTGTGGAGGACATGTCATGAGTTGCTCGTCATGTTGTTAGCTATGTACTATTCAGGCCAGCGTTCTCTCTTCCTTAATCCGGTCGGCCGGAAGGATCCAGCACCGAACGCAAAACGGGGCGCCGGCGTGGCGCACCGACATATGAGTCAGCAGATCTCCGGCGTGACGAGTGTTCAACATTGCGTGGGATACGGCACTCGCTGACTCCTTTTATCAGTCACGCATTTAGGTCATTCTCTGAGACTGTCACTCAGTTACACGTGTCATAAATAACTTACCTTCTGGTACGTGTGATAGCTGTCTCGCCGCAGAATCTACCTAGTCATAGTAGCTACATGTTTGCCAGATATGGGGAGACTTGGGATGAAATCGCAAACATCCCTACAGTCACCTCACAGGTAGACACGAATGAGCCTACCTGCCTTGACAAAGTAGAGCAGGCATATATGCCATCATAATAGCCATAGAACCTCATCCAAGGGCCTACGATCGGGACCCGCCTCCATGAGACCATTGTCGTCCAGCGGTTTAGGATGCCAGGCTTTCAAATAATATGCGAACGTTGAATCCCCGGGAGACCGGGGTTCGAACCCCCGCAATGGTATCGTTTTCTTTTTCTACTTCTACTTGTCGTTTTCGTGTCCTGGATATATCTATCCGCTTTGGTGAATGCCAGTCATGCCCTTACAACAATCTGCTTAGCAACTCTCGAGCTAAGTAAAATGTCGTGATCACTTCTAACCCTTCCGTGATTCAGTACCCCTTTTGCCTCTATTCTGTACTTGAGGCTGTTATATTGGAGGAATAATCTACTTTGGATATAGAATCGCCTCTTAAAGGATCGGGTAGGTGAATACTCCATGAATGGTATCACTGTACGGAGTCTGCCTGGACAGCCCACACCATCTGGACCATTTGCTTTGGCATGAACTTCTTTTTCAATACTACGTTTCTCATCGGTAAACCTAACCACCAGTCAAGACAACTGGCATTTTATTTCATTGTCCTCATCTTGCACATAAGCCTCCCCTCAAAATGCTCAGGTAATTACGAGGTAATCGCTCGTATCAGAATGCAAATACACTCTAGCCGGGCTTCGCCAACATGCCTCATTTTTATGTGATAAATGCCTACCCACCTTGGGCGCTCCCGTACTTAGGTAGGTACCTAGGTATGTATTTTGGACCATGTCGACCACCAAAAGAGGAACAATTTTCACCCTCTTCCATGCTTGGGGCTACTATATTATTGCTTCTTCTCTTCTCCTCTCCCTCCATCGTTCCATCACCCGGACGGTCCTACACCTCATTACTAGGATACCCCACAGCCTCGCAAGGCACAAACTCCTCCTTGATGCTGCGCGGGCTGACGAAGCGCGCGAGGATATTCGCGGACCCGGCCTTGTCGTTAGTGCCGCTGCGGCGCGCGCCGCCGAACGGCTGCTGGCCGACGACGGCGCCCGTGCTCTTGCAGTTGATGTAGAAGTTGCCTGCGCAGTGTCTTAGGGCCTCCTCGGCGGCGCGGATCGCCGCGCGGTCCCGCGCGAACACGCTGCCCGTGAGCCCGTACGAGCCGGTGCCGTTCACGAGCGCGCACGCATCGCGGAACGCCTTCGTCTGGTCCGCGTCGGAGCCGCCCGCGGCGTCGTCGTACACGTACGCCGTCAGCAGCGGCCCGAACGCCTCGGTCCGCATCTGCGCGTGCTGCGGGTCTTTCGCCTCGTAGATGGTCGGCCGCACGAAGTACCCCTTGGCGTTGTCGTACGTGCCGCCCGTCAGCAGCTCGAGGCCCGAGTCGTCCTTGGCCGAGTCGATGATGCCGCGCAGCTTGTTGAAGCTCCGGTCGTGGATCACGGGGCCGACGAACGTGGCCGGGTCCCAGGCCGCGCCGACGCGCAGCGCCTCCGTCTCGCGCACCAGCTCCTCCTTGAACTGCGGCCAGATCGACTTGGCCACGTACAGCCGGCTCGTGGCACTGCACTTCTGACCCGAGTACTCGAAGGCGCCGCGCACCGTGTGCACGACGGCGTTCCGGATGTCGGCCGACGGGTGCACGATGTGGAAGTTCTTGCCGCCCGTCTCGCCCACGACGCGCGCGTAGCCCGCGTCGTACGTGGTTTGGGCGGTGCCCTTGCTGATCTGCTCCTGCAGCTGCAGGAAGACGGCCGTGCTACCAGTGAAGTGCAGTGCTGCGAAATGCCGGCTCTGGACCACCGCCTGTGTCACCTTCTCCGGGTTTCCGGGCACGAATTGGATCACGTTGGGCGGCAGCCCCGCCTCCAGCAGGATCTTGTAGAGAAGGTAGCCCGACGCCACCGCCGAGTCCGAGGGCTTCCAGACTACCACGTTTCCTAGCAGCGCGGGCGCGCCAACCAGGTTACCCCCGATAGCAGTGAAGTTGAAGGGGCTGACGGCCCACACAAAGCCTTCCAGGGGCCGGTATTCCACACGGTTCCACACTCCGGTCGAGTTGTGGGGCTGTTGCGAATACATCTCTTCGGCAAACTTGACGTTGAAGCGCAAGAAGTCAATGAGCTCGGCTGCTGCGTCAATCTCGGCCTGCCACATGTTCTTGCCTTGTCCCAACATGGTGGTGGCCATGATCTCGTATCGATACTTGGTCGAGATCAGGTCGGCTGCCTTGAGGAAGATGGCCGCTCTGTCAGTGAACGACATTGATTCCCACGCGGGCTTCGCGGCCATGGCGGCATCGATAGCATTATTTATATCCTCGGTGCTTGCGAGAGAATACCTGGCTACGGCGGTAGCATGGTCGGAAGGGTTGCGCTGCACAGCCTTCTCTGCTTCGGCCTGGTCAACTGGTCAGCACTGACGGCCATGGGCGGCAGTTAGTTGGTATTGGAGTCATGTATGTACAGTATGTATCTCTTTGCCTCCTATTACCAGAGGAACGTCTGTTGTGCCCTTTTTCTGCTGCGCTGCCACTGCTGCAAGAAGAGCCTCTCTTTGCGCCGAGCCTTTCGCGTAGGTGGGCTAAGGACTGTAATTAGCTCTCCTTTACTTTGTATCAAGTATCATAAGGGTGATACTTGAACATACGTTGGGCTCGTTTGTGATTTGGGGTATCTTGAAAGCACTCAGCGCCGTCTTCATAGCAGTTGTCGCACTAAACGCCCTCGTATTTCTTGGCGACCTAAGACTCGGTAGACATCTTGAACAGACTCTTAAAGGCAAAGCTGAATTTTGCTGCAGTGCCCTCGCAAGGCCGTAGCTTCTCGGTGCAGACGCCATGTCACAGGTTCGAGCCCAATGGACGAACGACAGTCTAAGGAAATTCAGGTAGAGAGGGATTGGTCGACTTTGGAAGTATACCGAGGTGAGGAGGTAGGTCGAGAGGTAGAGGTAGAGGCGAGCGGTTCAGGTGAGGTCAATGGACATGCTGGATTACAGGGGACAGATGCAACTCTGGCTACAACTGCTCTTTGTAGAAAGACGCACTCGAAGCTCTTATCGGCCTCTCGACTCCGACTGCCCATGATGCTGCTCGCTTTAAGACGGCATAACGAGCCGACGTTGCGGGGCAGAGCCCAATTGAAAGGGCGGAGCCAATCGGGAGCTCCGTCATAGCTATAGGCGAGCCGAATTCGGCACGCTTTTCTGCACTATAGTAGCTCAACACGGGGTAAGAAGCTATCTGTAGATGTATAAAAGTGGTATAGTCCCGTCATTCGACTAGAGTAGAAATGGTTGGATCCATACCCCTGATTGCGTGGTGAGAGGCCTATCGGCTTTCTCATTGCTAATTGATAACTAGTATCTCTCATCGTATCATGTGTGGGCAGCTTGCCGGGCCCACGCAGGCGTTCATGATAATGGGACAAGGAGGCAAATGTGAAGACATGCCTCGTATGAATTAGAATGAGCAAGCTGCAGAGACAGAGAGCCCTTATCAGCACGCGGATACAGGTACAGAGAGCTATGAGACGAAGAAAAAGAGGATATTGAGAAAAACACAACAGCAACAACAGGTAATTCAATCATCATCCTTCTAGGGGGTATTGTCTTTTCCTCTCTCCTAAACACCCTTTCTAATCCTTCTTCAATGCAGCCAAGGACATGTAGAAGCCAAGCCTTGGGATGGACAACCAAGTCTCCACCAAATCGGTTAGGCATTTGACATACCTGCGTCCGTCTTCCCTCCGATATCGTATAGCGCACTTCCCCGAACAACTATTCAGGACCATAGAACGAGACGAGAAACAGTACGATTCTCACCTATCCCTGTACCTAGGTACACGCCAATCCGCCGCAACAGAGCCGGTCTAGCCTCTAGTGGCCGGCCTCTGGCGCAGACACCGGCACCGAAGGCGTCGTGCTCGGAGCTCTCGTGCTCGCGCGCCCGGCCGTAGTTGGGCGGCTTCGCTTGTGGCGAAGATGATGAGCGTGCGCGTTGCTTCCGAACTTGCCAGCCTCGTAGTCGAGGACCGGGATCGAGAGCCCGTACGGCTCAGTCTTGCCTTCTTTGTCGTGCTGGTCGATCTCGACCCGGACGCAGACGTCTAGACCGCCGTCGTGGTCCTTGCCGTGCGTCTCGAACGCCGCCGCCTTGTGCTTGGTTCCCGCACCCGACTCGCCCTGAGACAGGAACGCGTGGCCGTCCTTCCCATCGAACTTATTCTCTGGCGAGGTTCCCTCTGCCGACTCCGCATGCCCATTCGTAGCAGCTTCTTGGTTATTCGGCGAGTTCTCCGTGATAAGAGCATAATTACGGCTGGGCATGGTGACATTATTTGATGATCGCGTCCTGTTGGAGTCGCCAGGGTCCTTGTCAAAGAGAGCCATGAGGGTCTCGTCGGTATCCGCGTCCAGATGATGGATCTTATTGCGACTTGCCAGGAGGTTGGCGATTGCCGCCGGCGGTGGCTTGTTGACGATGGCAGAGGAGACCACGTTGACCATGTAACGATGGTCCGCCTCGACGGGGATGTGCAGGTTCGGGTTCGAGTAGAACCGACCGAGCGCGGCCAAGTGCACGTCACCTCCGAGGATGGTGAGACGGACCGAGAACTCCGCGCACACTTCTTGCAAACGCAGGATCAGAGTATTCCGCTCCTTCTTGTGCGTCTTGGCTGTGTAATGGTCATCCAGGTCATCGAGAAGATCTACACTGCCGTCAAAGTGGTTGAAAACGCCTCCACCTATTATCACAGTAAGGAACAGTCCTACTAATACGCAAGCAATTTCATTTCGACTTACCAAAACCAAATCTCCTGTTCAGGAACTTAACCGGAGCAATCAATGGACTACTGAACACGTTCTCAAGCCATGTGAGTCGCTACCAGCAGTTAGTAATTTTGCAAAATGAACTCTAGATCACGGAATTCCGTACCGGGTAGGCAATCGGGATACCCAACAGCAAGATCAAGTGCTTATAGGGCTGACCACCAGCCATGGCAGCGCCAAGTTCTTCCCGCACCCGAGTGAAAATCGCATCATACGTTTCGGGATAGTTGACCTGGTGCCGCGTACGCTCAGTACGAGCATCAATGCCTAGGAACGCAACTCTGGCACCGAGTTTGGCAAACATGTTCATCGAGTGTTCGGCAACGTATGGTCCAGGCCTGGTGCCAATGATATACGACGA